AACACCAAGGGGAGCCCTGTGGAAGAGTAAACCCTGACTGCACTAACCCCACAGCAGTGGTTTCTGTCCCATAAGACTGGATTCAGATCTCTGTACAGCTCCATTCAGCTTTGGCCTGGCTACCTGGAGGTGTGGCTGGGTCAAACCAGGGGGCATTATGACCTCCATAAACCAGATCCCAACCCCATTTGGTTTGGCCCTCTTCCTTCCTTCCCCTGCAGTAGATGGCCCTGCCCATCTGGCTGGAGCTGAATTACTCAGTGTGATTTAGGGGCTAAAGCTGGGAACTTGCAACCATGATTCATGATTTCTACTCCTGACTACATGAAGGTACAGAGAATCAAGCCCTCTGAAAACAGGAGATATAGTATGATATACTTTTTAGCAAACGCTCATGGTTATTTTCTAATATTGAATGTAAGAATGCAAAGTTAGGCAAGAAAAGTACTTAGGGTACAATTCTGCCAGCTGTGCTTATGTTAAATAGCTCAATGTTCTGAGTACTACTCAAAATAAATAAAGGTGGTTGAATTGGGCCCTTATGTATTACAGATACAGCTGTAATAACTCATAAACATACATATTTTTGCATGTTCATTCATTCTCCAAGTTTGATCTGGAGATTATTTTTTGAGTCATTTGTCTAATCATAAAATCACATCCTTTGGTCATTGCTTATTCTTATTCATCCTCCTTCTATTTTAAATCCAGTAAGGGTGGAAAGCATATATAGCCAGGACTCTGTGACAGTAGAATTTGTACTTTCCAATTATTTGAATAGATTGCACCAGATCACTACTGAACTGTTCTTCAACTGGGACCAACTTCCAAAATGCTTCACACTATCATATCTACACCAGCCTCTTTACAAAATGCAGCTGTGGACAGATGGCAAAAGTGAAGTCATGAAAAGAACTTGAAACAAATGGAAATCAAGCTGAGGTCCTGTTTAGTTAGTTTTCACGTGGCTTTTACAAGAGGTTTCATCCTCCAGTTAAGGTGTTTATAAATCAACCCTCTGATTTTAGGATCAATATGTATCAATATGTAACCGTTGATATCCTATTGTTTTACAATCTGTGTCTCATACTGCTCACTTAAAACAACATGGCATCAGCATGTTAAAAAAATGGAAAGGAAACATCTGTTTCTCCTTTTAATGCCGGGTGACAATCCATCTGTTAATTTTTTTTGGACTATAACACTAACAGATTTGGTGCTGGCTATTAGTCAGCCAAAGCAGGTGCATCAGGAACTAGTGAGCAAACAAAAAGCATATGACTTGTTTTCTTGACCAGGGCTATCCTTACACATAGGTGATCATTAGATTGAACTCTTTTTCTTTACCCTTTCCTTTTAAAAGAATAAGGCTCTATCCACATCTGATGTAGATGTTTATACTTCTGCCCTACTATGCTGGATGATGACTGGCATTGCAGGAGAGCATAAGGGAAACTGTATGTGGGGTGGGGAGAGCCTTCCACGTTGATTGGTAGAGGGGTGCACAAACTGTACCTCTACAAAGGAGTAGAAGGCATCTCTGATCGTATTCTTCACTACCCCTGGAAGCATTATCTGCCTGGGTGCAGCACAGAATGCACCTGTGTGTTCTACCTCCCCAGCCTCCTTGGAAGTTTGTTCCCTGTTCAGAGGCAATAGGCTAGTGCCTTTAATTTGTATTAGGATTTTGATTACTAATGAAGGGCCTTATCACATTTTGATACAATATAAGAGCCTGATCCAAAGCCCTCTGAAATCATTGGAAAGATTGTTATTGACTGTAAAACAAATATCAGGCCCTGAATTAATCACAACAATATTTTTAGTGTTGATGTTCTTTTTACATGGCAGAGGCTGTTTTTATTTTTATTCTGCACAGCACCACACACTTTTTCAGCACTTATCAAATAATAAGACAAATAAAATAATCCTTTAATAGTCCTGTAGCCATAGGATGGTAAGGTATTCTTATTAAACTAATATGAACTCCTTCATGTAATTTTGGAAGTGCAAAATATTATAGTACAAGATTCCAGAAATGATGCAGATAAAATAAAAAGGGTAACATTCTGGTTGAATGACATGGTTGCTTTGGGTAATGAATCATTTCCCACATAGGTTAAAGGTCTCTATCTCTAAAGCCAACAAGTTAGCATGAAACAGGGACACACAAGCAAATTGTGGAAGTGCTGTTACTGCATATTAGTAGTAGGTTGGCTGACTGCTTTTTAACCACGGGGCTAAAGATTATGAAGGCGTGCCTCTAAGCTTTGTGGATCAGACTGTTATTCCAGTTAAGTATTGCAAAGTTAAGTATTGCAAAGCTAAAGTGCCTTTGTAAATCCAGACCTTAATCTCTTGGGCTACGTCTATATTGCGCATTCTTGCGCAAGAAGATATGCAAATGAGGCACAGCCATAAGCTACCATTTTTGCAACAGGGGCTTTTGCGCAAGGAGGAGCAGTCTACACTGCTCCTTTTTGTGCAAAAACCCCCCACTTGCCTGAAAATAAGCAGCAGAACGGCTCTTGGGCAAGAGGGGTTTTTTTGCGCAAAATGGAAGCTCATTAGGTATGCAAATGAGGCACAGCAATATTCATCACCATGCCTCATTTGTATAACTTCTTGTGCAAGAATGCGCAATGTAGACATAGCCTCAGGGTGTCTCCACTGCAATGTAAATCCTAGACTAGTGCACACAAGTTAGCAGATCCTAGGTTCATTAACACAAGGCTTGAGCATCTACAACAATTTGTAACCCCAGGTTTGGAATTGTTGAGCTCTGGGTCCCAAACTAGGACTCCACCATTATGCAGGCTCCAGCACAAACACCCATGTTTCCCAGGGTGTTTTCCATATCTCCTATTTGGGGCTTGGGACTTCAGTTCCACAGAAGAGGCCCTGTGGCTTTGGGTTCCAAGATTCAGCCATGGAGACCCACGGATCCAGAAGTCAGGTCCCAGACTCCCAGAAGGCCACGGACCCCCAAGTGAAAATCAACAGCATCAGGCTGGAGACAAGGGAAAATATTTACCAGAGTACTGTTCTAGACAGCTCTAGAGTAATTTAAGCCCTGCATATTTCAGACTTTCCAGCACCTACCAAACTATAGCCACTCTAGTTCTCTATTCATGGTGAAGTATGCAAAAACATGACTCCACCAAATTTGATTGTCAAGACACACAGAAAGTCAGCCCAGGGTGACTTTTGGCTCAAATCCAGCAGGGCTATGTCTACACTGCACAGCAATAAGGCTCCTGGCGTGACTCATGGTCACACCCTCCACTTTTGTTGGGTCCTAGGATGGAGCCTGCGTGAGCACAATTTGATGAAAAGGGGAGTCAGGCTGGAGGCTGAGTTTGAATCATGAAGTTGTATTGCTGCATGTAGCCAGACTCTCAGTGCTTCAGTTTTTCATCTGAAAGAATAGAAAGGATACCTACCCTAGAGATTATGTTGTGAAGATAAATCCCCAATGCTTAGAATATGAGCACTTAGTATCTCTAGTGACTACACAGGCACCTTTATTGATGGCTATTTGATTATCGACATGGGATGCTTTAAATCTATTTCCTACAATTCCCACTTCTGCCACACTCAGTGAAGATATTATGAAGTGATTCTGGTCTCATGACTGTCTCGTTTATGTTATAAGTGGGGCAGCATGCCAGAGGCACTGGCACCAGTCGCTGGACCAGATGTTAACATTTCTTCAGATACCAATGCTCTCAAGTAGCAACAGAAGGGAAGGGATCTGCTTTCGACCCCATTTATTGTTAAGGCAGCATAAATAGCACAGCAGTGTCTGAACACGTTTTACCACCTGGCCTTAGAGGGACCACCTAAGGGCTGGATCCTGTAAGTCTCTCCGGCAGGTCAATCGGTTCAATGAGGACCTGCGATTGCAAGGCTCCTTCACCCGCTGGGAGCTGGGGCGGGCTCAGAGGCGTGGGTGCTCAGGGTGAGACGAGGGCGCACAGTTTAGCTCTGTGCGGTCCCTGGGGTTTGCTAGAGGCAAGCAGCGGCGAGGGTGGCTGGGAAACCGCGGTGGGTGCCAGGGCCCAGGGATGGGTTCGGGGGAGGGGAACAGGTGAAACTTTTAACCCTGCTTCCTCCCCCCTCAATTATTTCAGCCTTTCAGCGTGGCCATGTCCCTTTTACCTCACCGGCTCAGCCCCCAAAGCCCCGCGGGACTGGTCCGCCTGGATCTCCCCTGGCCGCGCCCCGAGCCGGTGCCCCCCTGAGCCAGTCCCCGCCCGGCTCGCCTCTGCAGCCAGCGCCAACGGGAAATACTGCGGCCTGTCCCCGCCGCAGCACCGAGCCCTGCCGGGGCTCAGTCCCCGGGTGGCGGGCCGGGCCGGGCTCCAGGAACCCCCGCTTCTCACCTGGCAAGCTGCGGGGCGGGGCTGGGGGAGCGGCGCTGAGGGACCCCAGGCAGAGGGGAGGGGCCGCCCGCTCCGCGCCGCCGGGCTCCGCGAGGCGGTGAGTCACCGGCAGGTCAGGGCCGCGCAGGCGGGACAGGGGGAGCCGAGCCCACAGGAGCCGGAGAGGCGCCGCGGGAAGCGCGCAGCGCCGCCGCCTCCAGGTGCCCTGAGAGCAGGGCTGCGCCCTCCCGCCGCACCGGCGTCGCCTCCAGGTGGCGGGAGCTGCTCGCGGAGCCCCAGATGCGGGGCGGCTGCCTCAGCTTCCCGCCAGCCCAAGGTACAAACGGAGCGTGCCCCGGAGCGCGCCTAGCGCCGGGACCCGCCTGCCCAGCGCCGTGTGGGGAGGGGAAGGGCCCGGCGCCCCGCTCTGCCGGGGGCAGTTCTCAGCCGGCGGGGCGCTGCCCCCAACGCGTGCGAGAGAGACCCGAGCGGCTCGTGGCGCGGCGCGGGGGTTGGGCACTTGTAGCTGTCAGGGAGCCGGGCGGCGGCGCGCAGGCACCACGCCCCCGGCCGGGCTGAGGGCAGGGGGCGCTCGCCGGGCGGGCGGGAGCCTGCCTCCTTCAGGAGCCAGTGGCTCCGCCGCGGGGGTGGGGAGGTGAATGAAGGGCGCGCGGCGCTTACAATCCGCTCTGGAACAAGCCCGCTGTGACTCAGCCTGACGCCGCGAAGTGCCCCCGCACCCTTCTGCGCTGGGAGGGGATCGCCTCGGCCTGCCCGCAGGTGCTCGCGCGTCTCTGCGGGTGTCCTGGGCGGCTTCTGTCCTTGCTCGCTCCATGACCTCGCTGCTCGGCAATGTAGCGGGAGGGGCTGGCGTCCAGCTTGGGACCCCCACGCAGACCCCGGCTGGAAAAGCGCGGCGTTGGCTTTAGCAGGCGAGACAGGTACTGTAGGCATGTACACGGCTAGGGCTTGGGAGTCCCTTAAGGGGTTCCGGGGGATTCCGACTAAGGAAAACATCAACTCTGCTCGAAAGTGTTTTCTGCGATCGTGCTTTACAGCAATACCTGCTTTCATAGCTGGAAACTTCCTGGGTGAGAGAAGTGCTACTATGACCAGGGATAACTCTGCTGTGTATGAGGAGTGCCACAGAGTCTAATTTTGACAGAATCATATAAGTTCTTCTAAATTTTCATCAGATGATTATCTGCATTCTTTTTCATTTTTTTCATATCCTAGAAGAAGCTGATTAGGCTAATTGTTCCAAATGGCATTAGAAAGAAAACGCCACACTTAAAAACATTCTCTCTAGATATGTTGTAAGACGCATCACATTGTATATAACACAATATTTAGGCTTGTGTTTCGGTCTCTAGAAGCCACCTACTGTACGTATGTTGCTATTAAAATGCATCTTGTATACTATTTTTGTCAACTATTATACTTCCTCTTTGTGATTGTCTATCTATTTGAGATAAGCAAAATGACCATTAGCTGTGCCTTTGGGGCATAAGAGGTTCAGAAATGCACATGAAATCAAAGATTTCAGCTTATTCAGAAAGCTTTGTAAAATTTAATTTAAATGTTCAACTTCGAAATTATTTTAAAATATTTGTCTATTGATAGTCTTGTGTAGTTAATCGAGCTTACATCAATTTAAATGCTTTTTTAAACAAAAAAATACGCTGTGTTCCAAATCAGCAGATCACATACTTTACAGATCTGGAGTACTTACAATAAATCAGCAAGAAATATTTTAATTTATTTTATTTTAAAGATTAAATTTGTCCAAAATTAGAAATAATTTACAGTCTGTAAGGAAACTTTAGTAGTGTGCCCATGTAAATATTACATTAATGGTCTCTTTATAAATATTTATGTATGTTCCAGAAAAGTGTAAGTACTAAAGTTAATCCTCACCCTCTAAAATGTTGAGTAATATTTAAAGACTACAAACACTTTAATAACTATACAGGTCTTTGGGATTTGTTGCCTTTCTAATCTAGAGGATTTACTTTGAGAAGCTACAATGTATGGATGTTTTTTCAGGTTTCTTAGGAAACTTTTGTATATTGTGGTAATTCATTTGCTTTTGATGTATCTCATCCAAAGTGTCCTTTTGCATTGCTGTCAAGCAGAAAATAGGTGGGAATCACTTTTCAAATTCAGAAGGTACAAAGCCATACCTAGGCCAGGTACAAAATGTCCCACTTCTCTATACAAGCTGCATAAATATTTGCAGCTAATATTTACACTTGTTATCCAGTAAAGACTACAGGGCTTCTCTTTTGCAAGAGTCGGACATTAAAAACAAAATAACCAGAGAAAATAACTACTAGTGCAGTGTCCTTTGCACCCGTTATCTCTTTAAATCTGTAGCCATAGATAATTTGAAATACAGGTATTTTAATACACAACTGATAATTTGAAGAAAGGTATTATACCAAATTAGTTGTTTAAAACAATCCCTTTACAATTCACATCAAAATCTATTTTTGGAGGGTTGCAAGTTTTGTCTTGTTTGGCGTCTTTGTCTTAATGCTTTTCGGAACTTATTATCATTCCATAACACTCTTTACCCACTTATTAGAGGGTTGCTTTCTTTACAAAAGTGTTCTGGATCCAGACTATGCCTTACAGATTACAATAGTGCAATGGGAATACAATAATGGGGATAAGCCAGTTAGAAACCCAAAACTTAGCACAAATTCATTGAGAGGTTCTTAAACAAAGAATTGTTAGCAAATTTTGGTTCCTCCCCTCATCAAGTCTACAAGTACCTAACATCTGCCTCCCTACTGTCTCTAAGACACCTTCCTCCTTTGCACACAACCAGGCAAGTCCCCTGAAAATTATGACCTACTTCTGCTGTGCCCAGTACTATTGGGGTGTCGAATAGTTTATCTCCATCCTTCTGTGATCTGCAGACGGGTGCTCCCCATTCCTTGTCTCAGAAGGGAAAAGGATGGTCTCTTCAGCTTGCTGGACCCCAAATCAGGGTAAAAACATTCTGGAGACAATGCCATGCATCTGGCAGCAGGACAGCTGTAATCCACAGCAGTAGAAGGAACCTCAAAAATTGGGGCTACAACCCAGGCCCCAGGGCAGTGCTCACACAAAGAATTGTGAGGTCTCTCTAAGGACCTCTTTGTATTAGGCACCTATTTTAATTCTTCTCACATAAGGTAGCATGTTAGGACAGAAGCAGGGACTTCAAATGTTTGTATTGGCCTACCACAGCAGGATCCTGCCAGGGAGATCTGGGTGCAACAGTACTGCACATAATATTCATAATACCATTGATAAAATGGGGAGATAAAAGAACAGTCACTTTGTATCCTCAGAGGATCCTAAGACCAGGCCATAAAACACTGGTTCCAAGGAGCCTTAAGGATTCCAGTTCCAAGATCTGTTGGCAGGAAGGAGAGAGAGCCTGGAATTCTCAGGGATATTTGCCACCTGACACTCTGAACAAATACATATGGGTCTGCAAACCAGCTCCGCTAGCTTTAGTTCATGAAACCCACATGACTAGGTTTCCCCCACTTCAGCTGTCATTGAAGCAGAGACAGAATGTTTAATAGTCCATTACCAGTCACTTGAGCTTCCGTCTTGTGTATCTTCTCTCTTATTGCCATAGTCTATGATTATCCCCTTCATGGACTTTAAATCCAGCCATTGAATCCAGTTTGCAGACTAGCCAGGCTCTAGCCAGTTTCCTCCAAAGCTCTCCACTCCCTTGTAGTCCTGTGCAGTGTGCTACTGTGGAGATGAGTTGGTCACAATGTATAGTGTTGATCTTCCTTGCCTGCCCCATCCCCCACTGTGCAGCCAAACCATCGGGGTTTTGTTTTGTTGGGCTTTCCTTTTAAAGATTGTATTTTTTTAGCAATGGTTTTAAACAAATCTATACTGCATCCACAGGAGCTGACACAAGCATGTTAGCATAAACCATTTTTAAATCATTTTTGTCACCCAGGGGAAATGCAGTGTAGACAAGGCCTTAAAGAAAAGAATAATTAGGTGACCTTTTTTCCTCAGAACATGGGGCCTGTTTTATGTAAAATTGTTTGAAATCCCACAAATTCTCATTATTCTTAGAATCACTAACCTTGTATTGCTTTCTTTGTTTCAAATACCTTTTAGAAAATCAAATCAGTGTTGCAATCTAATTTCTAAAGGCATTCATACACATGGTATGTGTGCTAGCTTGTTTCCTTTAGCACATTAACAAATCTCCCAAATTGCCAAGCTATTTGCCTTCAGGAATACTGTTATGTTGTGCAGGAAGGTAGAGCGTTTTTCATGTAATTTAATTTTTTTTAAATTAAAAAAGATAAAATTATTAGACCAGATTCATCTAGGGTGTAATGCCTGTGACGGAAAAGGTATTGATTTAAGAATAAATATTGCCCAAGGACTCCAAAGCTATTTCTTGCTTTGTTTTGTTTTTAAACTATACTATGCTATTGTTATGCCACCTGATGTGATCAGAAAGAGCAGGGCTGGGCAAAAGAGCCAGCGTGGGCTGGATCTGGCCTGCCAACCTGGTTGATTCGGCCCATGGCTGCCCTGCCACTCCTCTACCCCCAGGCCCTGACTGGCCCTGAGGCGGTGGGAGGGAAGGAGTGTGCAAAGCCCCCTCCCTCTGCCAGGGATGGGTTGCACCTAGAGGGAACTGTCAGCTGTTCAGAACAGCTGGAGGTTCTCTCCATGCACATGTGGGGTGAGGGGGAGGTTTAAAACTTCATGCCCCCCCACATCCCCAGGTTAATCAGGGTCTGTGGGCAGGGGAGCATGGGAAGTTTTCTGTCCCCGTGCCTTCTGCAAAGCCCTACCCCTTCTGGGGTGGCTCGGGGCCACTTCAAAAATTTGTGAAAGTGGTCCCCCTTCTAAAATTATTGCCCGCCCCTGAAATAGAGCCTGATATAAATCATTATAGTATGTCCTGGTGACTCCAGTGGTCTTTGAATGAACTGGGTACTGTTTGTACCAATATTTGAGTTGAGATATGGAACTGAGATAAGAGAATTTGGGGCACTCAGTGTAGGATTTTGCTAGATTTCACAAACAATGGTTTTCATAACATACTGATACATAATATTTGTAGAAAATTTTCTAGAGAAAACCTTTGAAGCTTGTGTTTTACAGCTGTATGATACAGCTTCTTCTTCTACTCCTAGGGAAGTCAACATTAAATAGATTTTTTTTTAGAGGAGGCAATCCTGGAATTCATCAAATTCAGATGAAACCTCTTGTGAAATGAAAAATACGTAAATGCTGTACCTTCAAAGAATTACTGGTCTTTTAGGTTCTTATACCATGCCTTTCACTGTGGTATTTGATTCCCAGCAGTGTTTTGTTGTGTGTGCCACAGCTGCAATTCTTGTCTTATGAACTATTTCTGTATAATTTTTCTTCCTGTATAATATGGTAAGGTACAAATAGGGATTCATATCTTAGTCACTCATCTTTACAATAGCTCTTCCATTTTTATGCCTATCCTACTAAACAGCATCCAACTCCTTTTGATATGTCCTAGCATAATTTGTGCTAAGGATCTGTGATCTAGCTTGATAAATTTAAAAAAGGCATACAGCTAAATAAATGACATTTATTGAAATTCATTTTTACCACAAAGCTACTTCATTTCAAAAATATCAAGAATAGTAAAGGATTGCAGATGCAATTTGATTAAATCTGCAGTTGTTACCATTTGCCTTCTGAAAATTGATTTTTCCTCCTCCCCCAAGCTTGACATGCTTACTGATTAAAAATCATGCATAGACTAAGACAGGTTACATTTGTTTGTATTTGTGTGCCATCCATGCAAATTCTAACAGATTTTGAAATGTACTGTAATTCTTCTACACTCACTCATAACCTACTAGAAAGGATGAACTTGCTTAGCAATAGCCATTTTTATTTTAAACTTTGATGATAC